TTTGCTCGAAAGAAAATTGTTTTGTGCCTTATTCTATAATTGATCATTACCAAAAGAAAAAAAATGAAATTATAAATAAAATATGGAATTGACAAATGCTATCGTCGAAACAAACAAATTATTCTTTAACTAATTTAGACTTCACATTATTAGACGAATTGAACCATTGGAACTAATTATTATTTTTTTAAAACTATTTGAAAATGAACCAACCTTGACTACCAACACATTTGTTAAACTTAATCTACGCTTTGAAAATCTATTACATTTAAAGGAACTCTAACAAACCTTGTTCGAAATCAACTCATGCCTATTAAACTAAACTACGTGAATTATTAATGGATTCCCTTAAGCACGCATTGAATTACGACTCACTGTCTATGAATAAGGTATCTAATGTTGTATGAACTTGAATCGTATTAAACTATACTAAACAACTGTATTAATGCCAATTCCAAATTACGCCAGCCCAAGACAATCCAAAACTAAATACAGATGAAATCGAAATTAGTCCACTACTCGATTGTTTCACTATTAATTGTAAGATAACGGATCTAGAACTAGTTAAAACTTTCAGTTAAACTAATGACGTTATTAAAGTTATTGACTAAACAAAATTTAGCAAACTAGATAGTTCATTAACAAACCAAAACCAAATCAAATTATACAGTTTACCTTCCCAAACGGTATCGAACAAAAATAAACTTATATTAATTACACATCAACTAATATCTATTTTTGAAAACATAGATGCGGTGTAAACTACATAAGCACAAATGTGGAGGCCAAAGCATGAGTACTTCCATTTTTCAATCTTTCAACTCAAAGTTACATCAAAGCTTAATTCGAATGTGTACCTTAATTGGAAAGTGAGAAGAAGGAGAGGTGAATCAGCAGCAGCAGATAACAAATAACAATAGTGGCACTAGAATCAGCAATGTGGGACAAATAAGATACAGCCCAGTGAAACTCAGAGATCCAGAAATGTTTTAGAAAAGAAAATCCCAAAGAGCTGAACGGATTGTCTCAAAATCAATTGGAAATAGATCAAACACCAAACTTGAAATCAACTGGGACACATCTGACAACAAACAGCTCAAACCAAACAAACCTAGAATAGCTTTGGTTGGGCCTAAATCTCAAACTGAATGTGAACAATGGAACAGTGCCCTTTTCTTGAATTTTAGAGTTTTTTCAGGGGTTTTCTTTCTGCCTTTTTTATGTTTTTGTTCTCCAGAACTCTCTTCTTTTTCTCCCTTTTTTTTCAGAATCAACTCTCTTCCCTTTATATTCACACACAGACTTCTCTTTCCAGCTCTTAGAGCACTTAGTCCAATAAAATACTGATTCCCTCCCATGTTCTCCCTTCTGTTTTTCCACTCAAAGTTTAAAAACAAAAGTATTCCCATCAGATTCCCCTGACAGCCCTCTTTTCACTATTAAAATGGTTTTTCCTTTTATTAAACTAAACAAGTATGTGCAGCATGATTATGTCCTGACAGCACATGCTGTCAAGTTAACTTTAATTCATTAAAGGACTGTAATGCACATGCTATCCAAAATCTCAAATGAATAAACAGGGCCAGTAATTCTATATCAAGTCAAACTAAACTCTGAAATCTATATTAAAACTGCAGCTATAACCAATTTAAACACCTAAAATCTAAATTGAAACTTCAAAACAAAACCAGCATTAACAAATAAAAGAGCTTAGCAGAACATTGAAGCTGAAACTGAAACTGAAATCAAAATGCATCGATGCTTAACAGAAAAACCAATAACAATATTACCATGAATCAGAACACAAGCCTAACGAACTATCCAGGTCAAACTTCCAAATCACCAACAGCACATTATGGTAATGATTGATTTATAATTCCAAATTAAGCTGAAATAGAGTGAAAGAAATCCTGCGAATATACTGAACTCAACGAAGATTGATGAATATCAAAGAACAAAGAAAACACACATCACATATAGGGGACAAATTGAACCAATGCCATACATCATTTAAACAAAACCACAAACGAAACGTACTGAAATGGACTATGAAATCAAAGCCAGGATTAAAACTAACTATCAGGTTAAACTGACTTACACATAACGAGCCAATAAATTGACCAAACAATCTACAACATGTAAACAAACAATCAGAGGAACTGGACCCAATAAACGGTCTGATGAAATGAAGAGAAGTACTGAACCAAAGACAAGAAACAAGTCAAGACAAAGATACAATTTAAAACAGACAAACAAAACTATAGAAGGCAACAAAAGGAATTAAGGAGAACTTACTGTTCTTTTCTCAGATTTCAAATAGTATGTTCTTTTGAACTTGAGTCCTAATCAGTATTATACGTCTATTTCGTGAGAAATAGGCCTACAATACTGAACAGAAACCAATCGACCTTGAAACTTTGACACGTCTTGAACTGCTGAAAACCCTAGATCCGTCATTCGATGGATTTTACTCATATTCGAACCAATTTGGCTAGGGATCAAGGACGAGGAGGTAAAGGGGATTATTAGGTGTTAGTTTGGGGTCAAGGGGGCAGCTAGGGCTTGGAAGGGAGATTTTGATCGAAGATTCGAGGAGATCCAACGGGATCTGAGGGAATCTGTTGATGGTTTAGGGGTGAGGGAAACCTAGTGGTCGTGTGGTATTAATTGGGGGTGGATTGGGGTGGTTTTAGGGTTCTGATCGAATCTTTAAACGAAGATTCGAGACGGCGAGGGATGACTCGAGACAAGGGAGTAACATATTTGGAACGGGGTGGTCAGATGGTTTAGGGGTGTTAATCTGGTGACCGGCGGCATCGATGCCTAGGGTTTCAAACGATGGGGTAAGGTGGCGGCGCTAGGGTTTCATGAGGTATTTGGTTCAGTCTATGAGAGAGACGAGGATAAGGGAGGGGGTCTGGCTTAGGGGGGCGTGGGGGTAAGGGATTGGGGTTATATAGTTAGGGGAAATTTGATCTGGGCCATTAGATCATTCAAAATCAATGGCCTGGATTGATCAACTTAATGGAAACGACGTCATATGGGTTAAGTGAGACCGGTGGGTCTCTGGGTGAGACGGGTCAGGTTAAGGCGTGGGTATGGAGACGTGATCTTGGCCATTGATCAATCTGAGATCAATGGCCCAGATCAAGTATGATCAAAACGACGCCGTTTGGACGTCTCTGAGATTGGCTGATCTGGACCGGGCAAAAACAGTGTTTTGGGCCTGATTTTGGGTCCAATTTAAATGGCCCAATTCCGATTTGTCCAATTTTAACTCATTTCTTTTCTTCTTCTAATTCCTTTTCTAAATACTAAATCTACCAAAAATCCTAAAATAAGTTACAAAACTACAATTATATTAAAAAGACATTAATTGACTCACACAAGATCAAAACTCAACAAAATCAAACCATTAAACAATAAAATGACAAAATTACCAAAAATAATATTTTTGTGATTTTCATTCATTTAAAAACCAAATACGATTTAATTAGTTCCTAATAGTAGCATAAGATCCTAAATTTACACGCAACATATATTTTTTGTATTTATGATTAACTACAACAAAGTAAACATTTACGGACAAAAATAATTACAAAAAATGTCACGCAACTCAAAATTGTACTCGAAGGTAACTTGTTTTATTTTCGATTTCTTTTGGAGTAATTTTCGTGAAGCAAAAATCACGTGCTCACACCACCTATGCCAACACAATAGCTGCTGCTACCCCAATCCTGGCCATCAATACTCAAAATCCCAGAAAAACAGTCATTGCAAGACATACCACCCACAATGGTATTCCGGCGGTGATTTTCAAAGCCAAGGATTATTATGGAATCATGGCGGATGAGTGTCGACTCACCATCGTGGTGCGATTTCTGAAACCTAGGGCCCAAATTGAGAAAATACGATCCACATTCAGAGAGATATTTCCAGTCAAAGGCAGTGCCAAAATTGGAGTGTATGACAATTACAACGTCTTTCTGGACTTCACAAATGAGAATGATTTCAACTCGGTGTGGTATAAAAGAATGGTAGAAATCGATGGTCTTCAAATGTGGCTGCAAAAGTGGACGCCGGACTTCAGACCGGACGAGGACATTCCTATAGTGCCGGTATGGGTATTACTGCCTAGATTACCTTTTAATATGCACACATGGCACTACGCTAAACAAATCTGTAGTGAGATCGGAACTCCCTTAGCTATAGATGTTGCAACAGCTGGTAAAACGAGACCGAGCATGGCTAAAGTTAGAGTGGAAATTGATCTTCTAAAACCTCTGGTGCATAGTGTATTTATTGGATCGGAGGATGAAAATGTTCCTTTGAAAGGATTTACTCAAAAAATCGAGTATGAAAATATTCCTAAATATTGTAGACAATGCAAAAAACTTGGGCATAACTTACTCAATTGCAGAGTTATGGAAAAGAAAAGGGCTGCAGAAACCGATAAAAACAATAAAGAAGATGATCAGAAGCATAGTGAAGAGGGAACTAGAGTATCACAAAAGGAGAAGGAGGAGGAGAAAGGGGAAAAAAGAAAGAAGGAGCCACCACCTAATGTGAGTGATAAGGAGAAGGATGTTCGACAGCAAAACAGTCTCAACAAGCCTCAACATAGGAGGTTGAATTGCGAGGAAGCTATAGGAGGGTCAGACCATAGTACCTCTAACAAGCCTCAACATAGATCGGAGATTGAACAAGACAACAAGATTGCTTTAGCCATAGATGATAATCAAGCTACTATAACAAGCAGATTTAGAAAGAAGAAGAAGAAAAGAAAGCAGGAAAAAAAATGCCAAAGACGAAGAGTAAGGTGATCTTCAAACCAGTTCTAATACAAAGGAGCAACAGGCAAAAAATTATAACCAAGACTCCCTCCTCCCAGAACAATATTGCCATTTCACATGGCATGAGCACAAATGACAGTAACAAGGAAGTGGAACAAAACAGTGTTGAAGAGAAATAGGCCAGAAGCAACAACAATACGAAGGAAAAACATGATCTCAGCAACCAATCCAACTCCATGGTTAAGGAAAGTTCATTAATGAACTTAGTGAGGAAAATCGAATGCATGAAGATAATTCTAAAAGGCAGGATACTACCAGCAATAAGGACCTTTCGGATAAGAATACTGAGAGGCAGGGCATACTTACTCTTAACAACTTGGCGGATAATGGGGACGAAAACTTTGAGTTGGAAAAGGAGTACAAAGGAAAGGAAAATAACATGGTTCTGGTTATTTCTCAACAAGTCTACCAACTAACATTATTGAACAACCTGGTATTGAGTTAATAGTTGAATTATATGCAGATCAGGAACAACCTCTCGAAAGAAATACACACAAAACAACTAACCACCCAATGCAAGATACTTTATTACATCAAAGTATATAGAGAACTGAACAAAATGAGGAGAGGAACCAAGACAAAGGCAATCATGAGGAAGAAGAGTATCTCCTAACAGGGAGGGGAAGAAGTAGAGCAAGAAACTCAAGAAAAGGCATAAAAAATAGATATGCTACCTCTGTCAAGAGGAAACAAAAGATGGATACTTCCTCCCCGAAGATCTCATGATTAATACAATCTTTTGGAATATTAGGAGAGTGGGGTCAAAGAAAGCCATTCACAAGCTAAAACATCTTATAGACAGTAACAACATTCTTTACATTTCAATCATGGAACCTATGGTTGGCAAGGAAAAAATTGAAGGTTACAGGAAATTCTTGGGCTATCAAGAATGCATTTCTAATGATAACGGGAAGATATGGTGCTTCTGGAAGAACATCAGCAATACCACGGTTATTGGAATGATGAGCAGCAAATTTCTATTAAAATTGAGGACGGTTCAGACAATCACCCCATCATTATCACTGCTATTTATGCCAAATGTAATGCTTTGGAAAGAAAGCAACTATGGAGAAGCCTGGAGAACACCAGCCTTATTATTCATGGTCCTTGGTGCATCGGAGGTGATTTCAATGTTATTCTTGACCCCGGAGAGAAGCTAGGTGGTAAACCTCACAGGATGCATAGGAGTTTGGATTTTCAAAATTGTATGGATAACTGTGGTACTATTGATATTGGCTACACAGGTCCAATTTCACCTGGTGCAATAACAGAGGGCCAAGAAAAAGAATATGGAAGAGGCTTGATAGAGTCTTTGTTAATGATAAATGGGTTCAGAAATTTCAAAATACTAATGTGAGACATTTGGTGAGGACTGGTTCTGACCACAGACCTCTACTCATGAAATCTTCAAACTCTACTAACTCTCACTTTATATACTTCAAATTCCTTTAACTTCTGGACATCACAGGAAGGTTTTCACAATCTAGTTAAGGAAGTTTAGAGTACTAAGATTCAAGGTAACAGTATGTGGAGGCTTCAATCAAGATTAAATCCTTGGCAAGAGGTTGAGTAAATGGTCTAGAGAAGAAATTGGAGATATCCATGAGCAGGTTGCCAAGTGGGAAGAAAACACCCAGCACTTAGAGAAAATTGAAATATCTAGCAACACTGACATTGATAGGGAAGAAACCAACAAGGCTCATGCTGAATACATCAGATGGTTGGATATGCAAGACTCTCTTCTGAACCAAAAAGCTAATGCCAAATGGTTTGAGGATGGAGACAGAAACACCAAGTACTTTCATAGTAGGCTCAGGGAAAAAAGGAGGCTCCAATTGAACAGGATAAAAAACCATAAGGGCAAATGGATTCAAGGAGAGGAGAAAATTGCAAAGGCATCTATTAGGCACTTCAACTCCATGTTCAACCTCCCTACTCCTCAACTGGATTCTACGCTTCTGAATTGTATTACCAAAAGGATTACGGAAGAAGATAAAGACAGGCTAGATGAAGAACCTGGTGAGGAGGAAATCCGACAGGCAGTTTTCAGTCTATCTGCCTCTAGTGTTGCTGGTCCAGATGGTTACAATGGCACCTTCTTCCACAACTGCTGGGACATCATTAAAGAAGACATCAACGCTTTCATTTGGGAATTCTTCAAAGGTACTCCTCTAACCAAATTCTATACTCATACTTGTTTGGTGTTAATTCCTAAGTTGGATGCTCTTTCCTCATTTAGTGATTTTAGACCTATCAGTCTTTCTAATTTCACTAAAAAAATTGTTTCTAAAATTCTTTCAGTTAGACTAAATCCTTTGTTGACTAGTCTAATCTCTCCAAATCAAAGTGGCTTTGTTAAAGATAGACTCATTTCTGAAAATGTTCTTCTAGCACATGAAATAGTTCAATCCATTGGCCATGGTAATCAAGGTGGTAATATTGTCCTTAAATTGGATATGGCTAAGCCTATGATAGAATGTCATGGAGCTTTGTAACCTCTGTTCCAGGCCTTGGCAATCAACACGTTCCAGGCCAAGCTATATGGGACCTCACAGAAAATGGTAAGTATTCAAACAAAACTACCTTAAACNACCTTGAAATTGTTCAGAAGCACTCAGCCTAAAGATCATCTACTTAGCAAGGTATGGCATTCTAGCATCCCTTTTAAGATCTCTTTTTTAGCTTGGAGATTATGGTTGGCAAAACTTCCTTTAGAGGATGTTATACTATGTTTTGGAAAACAAATTGTCTCTAGTTGTGTCTGTTGTACTAACCATTTAAATGAGTCTATACAACATGTTTTTATGGAAAGTGATGCCACTAGGTACATTTGGAAAGCCATTGGTGCCCTCATTGGGATAGTATACAGGCAAATTCCCATTAGAGGATGGCTTAATCATTGGTGGCAGCAAAAGAGCAACAATATCATACATAAGCAAATCTTGCATGTCACTCCTATCATCATTTGCTGGGAAATCTGGAAAAGCAGATGCTCTTGCAAATATGGAGAACAGAAAAGGTTCAACTTCTACAAAATGAAACAGCAGATTACCTGGAACATTCAAACTGCAATTCTTAGGGCCTTCCAAACCATGCTGAGACTACAACCTGTTCCTGAAGCCATCATCGTAGCCTGGACTAAACCACTCCAAGGATCCTTCAAGCTTAACACTGACGGAAGCTATTTACATGGAAACGGTAACGCAGGTTTGGGAGGAATTATGAGAAATGACCAGGGTGAACTCATAATGGCCTTCTCTATCTCTGCCAAATGCAATAGTAACAATGATGCTGAAGCACAAGCTGCTATATTTGGAATCAAATGGTGTCTTAAACATGGTTATTCTGACTTCATTATTGAATTGGATTCTCTCCTGGTGGTAAACATGCTAAAGGAGGGGCGGACAGATAACTACAAAATGAAGAAGATCATTGATGAGGCAACACAGTTAATGAACCAAGTCAATATCACCCCTAATCACTGCTATAGAGAGGCTAACCAAGTGGCGGATTTCTTAGCTAAATTGGCTTCAACCACTTCTGACAGTAATATATACTTATCCTTCCAACAACTCCCTAGGAGAGCCAAAGGTCCTTTCATTTTGGACAAATTTCAAGTACCTAGCATTAGGAAATACGACAAGGCGAATTTTTTAGTAAGTTAAACTTATTTTGTATAGCCACACAGTGGTGAAGCTATAGGTTTCACATTTGTGTTTTTTGGAAGGATACTTGTATCCTTGTGTTGTAATCTGTGGAGGTAAGGCCATC